CCATTTTTCAACTGACAGAGCTCAATATCAAGGCAAATCTGTCATGTTTTCAATATGCGCGTGCACGAGCACGCGCTAATGACGCCATAAATTATGCACAGTAAGGATGCGCAATGCAAATGTGAGGAATGACCTTAAGTTTGCTAGTTGCCAATAACTTGAATACCAATGAAACCAAACTTGTAGACAGCAGACATTCTAACTGCATTGCAGGATGTTATTGCTAGATGTCTCCTTCAAAACATGTTCAGAAATAATTGTTTATACCTTGGAGGTATTTGATTACTAACTATAGTTTCTATGTTGCACCCAGAAGGTGTAGCTGGGTGTCAGACTATTTTTTCTGGGAAAATAAATCTATGTCTGTTCTCTCTTCATCACATGACATTGTATTAATTTTTAATTCTTATATTATATTATTTATTCAGATGCGATGGACGTCCCTTGGATGCCCTCCGACCCATTAAATGTGAGGTTGATTTGTTCAAAAGCCTTCATGGGTCATCGTTATTTCAAAGAGGAGAAACACAGGTTAGTACAGTTGACTGCCGATCATCATCAAACCTTTGAGGGAAACCAAGAAAAGTTTAGGTTATTACAAGAAGGGATCAAATGACTAAAAATCAGGGAACAGAACAGTATGCCTTGTTTAGAAAACATCACACTTCACATGGAATTTTCCAAGAAATATGCCAGCTTTTCTTTTATTATTATTTGAGTATAGCTACTTCAAAACTAATTTTATCATTTGCAGTACAGCTACCTTTCAATATGCTAACAACATTTGCTATTTTTGGGGTTTCCATAGTATCTTGAGTTTCCATTCCTTTCAAACTACTGTAGGTGTTCTGTACAGCAACACTTGGTTCTCTGCGTTCAGCAAGACAACGTGATGTAGCAGAGATGGCTGTGGGGTAAGGACTGTTTTTGCATCCTTATTTTACTGGTACAGTGAACATGTGGTTTTAATCTGAAAGAAAAGTGGCTTTTCATTCTTGTTGCTTTTTTCCTAGTTTAAAAGTTTTTTTTTTCCTCACTTCAAGTTTTGTCATTTCTGAGTAGAATTTTGCTACTAGTTTGTTCCAAAAAGAAATACCAATTGCTGCCATTGAGATATTTGGCTGGAAGTAATACATGAAGGATAAATTCACTTGGTTTACTTGAGGTAAACCTTTTGAACCTTGACTAAATGATAGTCGAAGTCTTCTGACTATTTCTGTATAATGTTGTGGTTTTAAGGCAAGATCAAGCTATGCTTGGCAAAAGTTCAATTCCATTTGTACATGAAAATAAAAATGATCTAGCTTGTACACAAAGTAAAGAAAGTCTTCAGAAATTTATAAACATATACCTAATATGGGACACTATTGGGAAGTGAGGTGTGTATGTTTTACCACTTCGATAATGAATGGAGCAGATCAGGTTTGAACCCTGGTTTGATCTTTGTGCTGTGTTCTTTAGCAAGTCACTTTTTTCTCTCATTGTGCCTGTCACCACCTAGGAATATAAATAGCTCTGGTCAACCCTTACAGTGACCAGACAGAAATCAATGCTATTGAATAAGAATCTCATCCAGGAGGACTAGCTAATTCATGCTACAGAAGCCAGAGTTCGGCTCGTGCTGTTGTGAGATATTAATTTTGGTTGAAGACTTCCTTTGTATAGATGGTTTGCTGAAGTTTTAGTGTTGTCAAGCTTTGTTTCCTTTTTTTCTTCTTGTTTCTCAATCTTTTGTAGGGATGTGAGAGAAAAACCATTTATGCTCCACTATGAGGTATGTTGTTCATTAATTTCAGGTAGTTGGTGGTAAAAAAATTTTATGAAAACATCTTAGTATATTTTAAACTGCTTGCCAACTTCCTCGTTCCTTGTTTAATATAATCTTAGTATATATTAAAATGCTTGCCAAGTTCCTTGTTTAATGTTGTGTTCATATCATGCTGTACATATTTAGTCAAGGTGACTAGAGCAAAATTACCTGAGGGACACAAGCCTGCGAGCAGGCTCCTTTGAGTCACGTGCGAGTGGCCAAGAGCAAAGCGATCCGGCGAGGTGGAGGCTGGTGAAAATCTCGTCTCGCGGCTTTGCCGCTCGATTCCACGCACGCGGCACAGCCGAGTGCGCTTGTGTTCCAACTGAGACTGCTCGCAGGCTAGAGGGACACCTTATGCATCATTTGTAGTAAAAACTAGAAAGTATTTGTAATATGTATGATAATACAGTTTATCTCCGCCAACTTATATTAAACTTCCTGTTAACAGACTAGTTTTGGTCCCAGTCATATGCAAACAAAAAAAATGTAAAGATTTGGAGTCTGTGAACTTACATTCATTCCAGTCTGTAATGCCGTTTGCTTTTGTTTTGGTTTTTGGTTTTGTTAGTTTCCACCGTTTTGTGTGAATGAAATTGGATTTTCTAGTGGATACAGTAGACGAGAGATTGGTCATGGTAGGTTCTTTAGTCATGGTAGACCTGTTGCTACTAATTGAATTTTTGGACGTCTCTTCCCCCTATCAACTGAAATTTTGTTATTGTAGATGTTTTTTAATAAAACATTGTGAAAAAATTGTCGAGAACCTTACATGTAAAACAATTCGGTTAGAAGATTAAAAAGTTTAAAAAAGGTACGACGTTTCCACGTCCACTTAACGTGGCGTTATCAAGTCAAAGATGATTGTGTGCGAATATAAATGTAAAAGAAGTCCTAAGAGACACGAAATAGTGAAATAAAAATGTGGTGATGATGTAATCAGATGTTGGTTTGCACAGTCGCGTAAAATGTTTGGCGCGAATAGAGTCTTTTTGAGTGTTTAACCATAAATAATAGAAGGAAATGGTTAGGAAACCTGGCAGTTCTTTTTTGCATGGATTTGTTTAATATTTTGGGGGTTGACTCTGCACAAAACCTGACAAAATACAAAAGGTGGTTATGTTTGCTCATACATACCACCAACCAATAGAAGCATTGCGATTATGTAATCATGCATATTCAATGAGCATAAAACAAAAGATGTGCAGGGTCAAGGACCTTCCAAAATAAATCATAGCCTTTTTGTTTGCTTCTGTGATGTTTACCGACCTTCCTAACCATTTCCCTCTATTAACTATGGTTTAACACAGGTTTCAACTCCTTAATGAGGAGCATCTCGAAAATTAAGCAATCAATGATAATGTGACAAATAAAACATGATGACGGTGATGATGGTGATGATGATGATATCACCATTGCAGTACAAACCTTTAGCCAAGCCTTAACGCTTGCAAGTATGTTTTCTAAACCATTGCAATACTCATGTCGCAACTTTCTTCATTTAGGAAATTTAGCTGAAATGGCGTTAGAACCAGTTGTTCCTAAGGATTTCCCATTTGCCATTCGGCTTACATCCCAGGTGTTAGAATCAAATGGTAAGGCAAACACCATTCCTTTAGTGACATTATCTGTATAGGTTACATGGGAGAGTTCAACCCCTCCCCTCACCCCAACCTTCTTGGCTGGCGAGTTAGTACATTACGTCCATAACCAGACAAAAGAGTCTGTTATACTTGCAAGAAAACCACGTAATGCGACCACCCTGTTAACACGGCCAACGGCCACATTCTAAAATCCCAACCCGTATAATCCTTTATCATTTTACCCCGTTTATACGGCCGCTCAAACCAGTTAAGGCCATCTTTCCACTGTTAATATTGTATGTACTGATTGAAGTTTTAATCTTTTTAAAATTATATCTGCATTCTGGTTTCTTATTAAAGAAAGTACAATTGAGATCTATATCTGTTAAGACGTCACTCAATTTAGACCAATCATGAAGTTTGCCCCCACTCCATTACCGCTGTACGTCATATTTTGTGTGCTTTGGTGTCATTTTACGAATGAGGACACTTTGTGATGCTTATCACAAAGAGCATGCACCTCATTACCTGTCTGGGGATGCTTATAGTTGTATCTCGTGGCTACATGTTACTCCGCATGCGCACTTGATCTATTACTGTAACAGTTAAAATGAGTTTGTAGATGTGCTAGCCACGAGTTACATTCTTCATTTGTTCATCAGGCTAATCTTGTGTTGCACTCCTGTTGGCAGGCTCTTCATCGTTAGCATCTGTTTGTGCAGGCAGTTTGACACTGATGGATGCAGGTAAATAACGATAGCCGTTCAATTGCAAGTGCTTGTCATTCCATACCCAGCATTGATCAGGCTTTGAACAGAATTAACGTTAAACCTCGTCACGCCAGATCCAGCTTGAAAATAGTATCGAGAATCTTCATCTAATATTGATATAGACCTACAAATGTGTTACTGAGTCATTTAGCCACTTATTGCAGGGGTCCCAATCACTCGTCTTGTTGGAGGGGTGGCCTGTGGTCTGATAACAAGCAGTGACGCCGAGGATCCAGATAAACAAGACATCGAGCAGTACCGTCTGTTGACAGATATCTTGGTAACAACGCTTTGTTCTTTATCACGCCATTGAAATAGATTCGTCACAGCTTCTCGTCTCTGCAGAAATAGCTAGCGTTCGAATGTGCTTCTTTCTTTTTTGTTGACGAAAGTAAGATCCTGACTCTGGCAAAGTACAAGAACCTGAGAATATTCAGCTAAACACGTTTGTTAAACATGTTTAGTCAAAACACATTTTTTTAACCGAAAATAAGTGACAGGAAACTGGAAGATTTAATATCACCTTCGGTTACAATGAAGTGCCGGAAAATTCCCCCTCTTGCCCTCGATTGGGTTGTGAAATAATGATTATTGTTTCTAAATCCACAGGGCATCGAGGACTATATGGGTGATATGGACTTCAAACTTGCTGGAAGCCGACAAGGGATAACAGCTCTTCAGGTGATGCCATCTTCCCCCTCCCACTGATACACACACTTCCTCCCCCAGGACTGTCCTAATGAAGATATGCCACCCCCCTTGACTAACCCGTTGTGTGTTTGATTGCGACAGGCTGATTTCAAGGTCCCAGGCCTCCCGCTACACATCGTGGAAGAAGCAGTAACAAAAGCAACAGGTAATCTTCATACAGAGGGGAGACTGGGGAAGCCTTTTTGACGAACAATACACGATTGCGATGACAGTCAAATGATGAAATATCTAAATAGAGAAGCAATTATGTTAGTTTATTTCTGGTCATAACATGGCACGTAGTTTAAAGATGAAATCATGTAAGTGTGTTTTTTGTCCACTAAAGAATGTTTACTTTTCCAATCATAAATTCAATATGGTCCTACTCTCTCTGTTAAATCTTTTTTTTTCTCCGCCTCCTCAATCTCCGCTTTTTAAAAAGAAGTTCACGATAAAAGGTATTTGGAACACAAATGAGCTAAGGAAGCGGCTCACTCAGTTCAAACCTGTACGGTAATTGTTCGTGTGTTAAATTGCACAGATGATCGGATGAAAGTTCTGGATATTATTGAAGAATGTCAGAGCGAGGCTAGGAAAACTCCCAAGGAAAATGCACCAGCTGTCGGTAAGCATACAGCTACCTCATTCTCTGATACAAGTGTAATGTGTAATTCAATGTCTTTAAGAAAGAAACACTGGAAGTTCGAGTTAAAAAATGGACAAAAACTACATACCGAGTTTGTTTACACCGTATTACAATTTACTATGCGACTGTTGTAAATATATTCTCAAAAGAAATCATTTCTATCAACAACAAATGTCGAAAACAAATTTTGAAGTTCATATGAGACACTTGAAAGTATTGATGAAATGAAACTGATGATAAAATTTTACCTGTGTTTGCACAATTTCTCTAAGCTTTGAAATTTATTTTGTCGGGTTCCAGTGGAAACTGTTTTTGGTGTTATTCAGGCAACTGTTTATATCTTTACTTAGCTTTTAGAAAATGCAAAAAGGACTGTAATATACCTACAGTTATTCTGGTACAAGGTTTTGTCCACTAAAAACTGAAATTTCTCGATTTTCTATCCGATTTTGTCTTAATGTTCTTTTGACTGAGTGTACATGTGCCTTCACTTAGTGAACGTAGCTGTTCCTCGATACCACGTCAAAAAGTTGCTTAGTGGTGGAGCAAAGGTTCTCAAGAACTTGGAGGAAGAAACAGGTAGAGTTCCTTCAGTTCTAGTTTGCGTCCGATTGACAGAAAAAAGTAAGAAAGAAATAACAAGCAAAAGCTTCTGAACACATGAGAGACACGCGCAGTCAACCTAACCTGCACTAATATGGTTAGTGTTCAAGTCGAAATTTTCATTTACATTTCCACTTGAACAGTTATCGCACTTTATCAAGCAGTTGCGAAAACAAGGCCGTTCAAACCTGAATTATTTTTGGCTTTTATTTCGCAACTGTTGGATTTGCGTACGTGCCTCAAACGTCTTCCTCTCGCAGTTCAAATATATTTTTCAGATATTCATTTCTAAGACAAAAGTTTCCAACACAAAACAGTACTACCGAAGTCATAGCTTTATTTGATTGAACGAAATAACGATAATGTAATGAAGGAGGTTAAACAGCAATATACTTTACACACACATGAATATGATCACTAGGGAGAGTTTTAAAGAGAACTTCCAGCTTTAAATAAATGTTTCGAAACAAAGACCAGAGTAGCAGATCTGGCCAATCACAATTAAGCAAATGGCGTCATGAACCAATCACAAGTACACTCACCAAGCCAGTAACATGTTGCCTAATTTGTGTTTTTAGGTACAGACATCACTCGGATTGATGAAGACCTGTTTTCTGTTTTTGCTCGAAACGCTAAAGCTCTCAAAGAAGCGGTGGACAGGATCAATGAAATAACAACTATAAAGGTACAAACCTTAGGCTTCTACTATGGGGCTCATGCGAAAAATTGTCTTTATTAGTCGCTCTAACAAGACCCTGTCTGGCGGGACTGGAAGGTACAAAGCGATCACCTGGACCAAGTGNCACGCACGACGGACTAAGCGAAAGAGGGACTACTCGTAGTCTAAACTGCCAATCGGTTTCATAGGAATGTGCGGTGGTGAAATGATCAAACTCATAATCTCAAGTAGACTACTAGCAGCCCCTCTTTTTTCTTAGTCCATCAAGACTGACACAAACGAAAGCGGGAAAGTACGCGCGACGAGTTTTCCTCTCACTCGTTCTTTCACGCAGAATAAGAAAAAAGGGGTGGAGTGGCTACTTTCTACAAGAAATGTGTCTCTAGCCGTCTGCATAAGTTTCCAGTATCTGGCGGTCGAAGCAAACCCGATCCTATTTCTTTGGTATGTCATGGTTTGCGGGGTAAGCAAATTTGCCGGGAAAGGCATGGCATAACAGGGTTGCCACGGCCAGGGAAAAATCAAGGAAAATCACAGTTTTTCAAGGTCAGGGAAAAGTCAAGGAAATTTTATCTCAAGGTTGCCGCAAATTATTTTATGAGATTTTTTCGTATAGACAGGGCATTTTTCTTAATTATCTATAAACCATCTTTATTTTTGATTCACGACCGGAATGATCATCCTGCAGGGTCAGTGATAATTGCTTTACAGTCGATGTTAAGTGCGGGAAATGTTAGGGAATTTTTTTACTCCGGTGAGTAGTGGCAACCCTGCATTGGTTACTAACACCTTCATGGAGAATTTTTCTTTCAATTAATCTTAAATGAGGAAACTAACGTCACAAAGTGGTTTTTACCTGTCAAGTCGGACGCTAGACAGTCAAGATTATCGTGCAATTCCTTGATCTAGCGCCACCGCACTGATACAAACATGCACCGCAAAACAGCCCGTGTTTAGCTTGAGTTTGTTGGATGAAGACGCCTTCTCGCTAATTCCGTGGCTTGTCGCGCGCAGCTTCATTGCTAACAAGACTGTTTACATTCTGAATTTCCTAATCTTCAGAGAATTTTGTTGAAGTTTACGCGCTCTGGAAAATTGTCTCCTAATAATTGAAACCTTATGCAGAATATCCCTTCCTTTGTAGAACTTCGGGAAAGCAAAACAAGCCATAATATGATAAATCAAAGATGATAAATGTTGGCTCAGTCAAAGTGTAGCTTGTCACGCGCAAATCTAATTTACCTTTTGTTTCATAGTCCTGGGCAGATGCTCTTGAAGTTGGGGCTACATACACCACAAAAGTTGTTGACGTCAGGTGAGTGATTAAGTTTGATATTGTAGACTATTCGATACAATGCNAAACTGTTGATGTGGTGTACATTGGAAAGGATGATCTCACAGGGCGACCACGGATTTCAACGAAATCGCTTTCAGCGAAAACTCGCGACAAGACTCTTAACGAATGTCTCACAAGTTATCCTTAAGTAGTTGCTGAATTGAAAGAAAGCTCGGAGGACAGGGTGTGAAAAGACGTGAAGGGCATTGTAACACGACATCGACCAAACGTTCGCTCTGATGAACAGTTAAGTTATCGACAGCCACTCATTCATTCCGGATGATTTTGTAGCTTAACATTACATATCTGGGATGGACTCTTCATCATCTGGCGCGGCAGTCAGTTGTACCGATAATCGCGGGCGGGAACTAGTCGCACCATATGCTGCCGTCTCCTGAGCAGGCCTTCTTGTTTGTGTTTCAAACAGGTTTTGCGGAACCGACAAAGCTGTGAATGACGGCTGGCAGAACTTGCAGCTTTGCTCTTATAATTGCGTGAAACTCTTCAAATCCAGAAGTTTGTGCTCACACCTCTTCGTTTGTCAGCTTGTAGCACAATGGGGCTCATCTTATTAGCGTTGTCCGTTGACAACAACTCAACAATGGAAATTAGCAACAGAGTAATAAAAGCCCAATGTTTTCAAGTACAGCATAGAAATTGAATTAAAATATCGTTGCATAGCTCTATGATTTATTTCATTCTTTAAGAGATCACTGGTGTGTGTTTATGTGGTTCGTTTAACCGACATGAATCTCTTATTGATCCTCCTATCTGAAATAAGCCACTCCCCTCACCTCTGTTAACCCTTACCCCCTCCACCCACGCTTTCTTATCTTTCCCCTTTTCAATTGCTTTCACAGCCAAAGTAATAGAAACCCGCAGGCTGTGTTACTGAAAACATTCTCCTTACCAAACTAGACACGAATTCAAATGTAGTGTTTGTGGGCTTTGGAGAAAATATTTCCATTTTTGGCCCGGTTCACATTACGCCGGAGAAATTTGAAAACGGGAAATGTTTTGCGTTCACACTACGCCAGAGAAATTTGAAATGCAACAATCACCGGTCATTTTGGATTTGTGTTTGAGGAAAACTCGGGCGGCGAAATCACATGATTATCGTGACGTCATCATTTTCAAAAAGCTCCGTTTTCAAAATGTTTTCCGTCCACACGGAAACGCAAAGCCGGCGTTTTCAAATTCCTCCGGTTTGAAGAGCGTTTTTGAAAGCTCCGTTTTCGTGTCGGATTAGTGTGGACGGTAGGCCTGACCGTAGAAATAAAGCTGCGCCGTTAGGACGTTAGCCGATTTAGATTGGCGTAAATTGTAGCGAATGGCAATCATCCTGTCACTGCATTGGAAATTACCAAATTAATTCCAATTTCTTTTTTTTTTTTTTTTTAATTTNATTTTTTTTTTTTTTTTTTTTTAAATGTATGTTTTCTAGCATGTGCAGCTTTCTAAAGCTAAAGAAATAAGTTGGAGCCGGCATATTGGATTTCCACTCAGGATGCACGTGGCATAATAAAATCTAAGCTTGAGGTAAAACCTACATACACTAGCCTGCGTAGCAGGCGTATAAAGGGGAGGGGGTGGGGGAGGTAAATTTTTGCCCCGAATTCTCTTCCTCCTCCCCCACCCTCTCCCCTTTATACGCCTGCTTCGCAGGCTACTGGTCAAGTGTTCTCTTGCGCGCGTTCACGCGACGTACACGCAGCGCTGCGAGTACCACTACAAGTTCTGTAACTTCATGACAATGGAAAACGAGAGGGAATGGTGCTAATATTCCCAACAAAATGGCGGACGGACGACGTTTAGCAGATGCTAGCAGAAAGATGAATCCTTGTATGGAGGAATCGGAGGCTTCCATGAAATGTCTGGTTGAAAATAGCTATGACAAGAGCAAATGCACGTTTTATTTTGAAGCGTACAGGGAGTGTAAAAGGGCATGGAACAAAAGGAAGGCTGAACGGAGGAGACAAGGACTACCTCAAACTGATCCGTGAATTCATGAAGTCGACTGAATCTTGAATTGTGGGAAACAAGGCCAGAGAGGATCATAAACTGACTGGACAGAATTAACGGCAATTGAATATCAAATGGCAGTTTGGGAAACTGATCAGAAAGACATCCCACGCACTTCCTTTAAAATCCTACGACCATGATCAACATGGCGTAAACAACTAGTCGTTGAAGACTAATTTTTGGGCAATCAAGAATGTATGAAAACTGACACACGAGCATCTTACGCGTGGGTATTCAGGTCCATCTTCCAAGTTCATTATTTGGCCGTCGTGGCAGATGGTGCTTGGAGCAACACTGGTAGACCAACGCTCACATGGCCCTTGTTTGTTTTTCTGGGCCAAATGTGATTCATCTGTCACGTTTACATAATCAGTGCTACATTGTTTTGAGAAACGATCTCGGACTCATTTGCTACCAGCTGGCCATCAGCCACAGTTCTCGTTATGAAAGTTTAAAAGTGTATTTCTGGAATGTCTGCTGTAAGAGTAACATCAAAATGTACGTTTTCTCTCAGGGGGCATTGTCTTTATACCTAAACGAGAAACAGGCACACCTCTCACATGCCCTATGGGACAAGGAAAAACTAGGATGTTTTTTTTTAAAGAACTATTGTGCAGAAAATTATTATTTACCACCATTCGATTTTTCCCATTGTAATGTCCACCCTAACTAAGGCCACTGTCTCTTTAATTTGTTAAAGTTGTCTACTTGCCAATGTTCAAATTCTCCCTACCAACTTTCAAGACCAATGGATCATTAAAAGAATTTTGCAGCAGGAGCAACTGGTTTGGAAATTCTCTGGCAACCAGAAATTCCAAAGCTGGCTTTTAGCCACCAGGATTTGAAAAGTGGCAATGCAAAATGTGATATGGGTCTGCTCAAATGAACAATCTATAAGGCAACATGACTGTGAGAAATAAAGTAATTTTCTTTAGAAAGTTTACAGGATTCCAGGACACTTATCTAGCTGAAAACCTGTTCTGGATCTCTGGCAACAAGATTGAATAGAACAGAAAGTCAATGAAACAGTCAGTGGGGAGGTGCTGTTCCAATGCCACAGCAAATTTCCAAAAACTTGTGCCCTGGCATGCATTTCTTTGAAAAAATTTGCAAATTTATATGTTGGAGTCCCATATTTTCATGACTCTTACAAAACTTCACATAATTACTAGACTTGGCATGATTAATCTATGGAGATGTTTATTGTTCAAATAAAAAGCATGCAAAGAGTTGTTGATATTGTGTGGCATTGTCAAAATGGTGTATTCTATCTTGTTGATTGAAATCATTGACTGAAACAAAATTAAGTGTTTTGTGATTGTGTAACACTTCAGTTGAAAATTCTATCCTGAAGACGAGACAGCAATGGTTGTTGCCCTTCTGTTTGTCTTTGGAAAACGAAGCTTACTGAACGAGGCACAAATACCCAATTGCTGTTTAGTGTTAGTAACCACTTGTGATAGGTCCACGGTATTGTGTTGATCCCCCCTAGGATGGAGATTTGAAAGATGGGTGACATGCAAGATATTTGCAGGTGATGCTAAGTCCTTATATATGATTAAATGTAATGATTTGAATCAACTGGATTGATTTGTACTGCAATTTTACAATGACATATTCTGGAATTAGTCAAGTATGACTCCAGTCTGATCTGTGCCTTAGTAATAAATAAAATTTTATTGTTCATTCCCAAAATCACCAAGCACAGACTAGCAAACCTCCCCTCTCTGATAATCCTTCTTTGCAATCCTTATAATTTACATTCTTTATCATTACCACTCAAACTAATCCAAACCAATAGCCAATCTTGCAAGAATCAAAGTATCTCTAGAATGGGTGGCTTATTAAGAGGGCTCCAATTGTAGAATGATACTTAGACACCAAAATTCAATTGAATTAGTTACAAATACACCAAGCAAATATTTCCTCTTTTATTGATCTATTTTGAAAAACTTGCATTTTAATTTTTGACTTGAAATGACTCAAGAATTGTTACGTAATTTGACGTAATCAGCGAGCTACCGCGAGCTACAGGAAATAAAAAGGACAGCGGATGCACCACGAGAGAATGCGCACAGACACTCTGACACGTACGATGTAAACATGGCGGCGCTGTAATATTTGATGCCTTTCTTTCTCTCTGTGTTTTGCAACTGTAGCGGAACAGCATAGTCCGATTTCCGACAAAAGAGTCATAAGTTTATTTCTGTAGAAAGCAAGAAAGATTTAGGAATGTGGATGCTGTGATTGCCTAAGCGAAAAGGTGTTTTTCTTCGAGGTGCGTTGCATTTTTGGCAAGGTAAGCCAAACTCCGTGTATAAAATTATTTGAAAGGTTTACATGTTGTAAATGATGTAACATCCAGCATCAATCATTGTGGAAGCAAAATATGACAAAAACTGAATATTTCAGTTCAGTTTTCCGTCTTTGCAGAAAGTATTACAACTGACACATGACAACCTCAGAAGATCGATATCTGTCTAAGCTAAGTTATTTGTAAGCGTTTGTTTGAGTCCAGAAGCATATATCTCAAATATAAATGCTTCGAGTTTCCCCCTTCAGCTTATTGGTCTGAAATAAAAGAAGTTATATGTGATCTTAACTTAGCCCCAAAGCTCTGTCTTGCTAGCCATTGCCTTATAATTATAGTTTAAAGGAGTTTTTGTGTTTAAAGACCATAGGAGTTCTCTACCCCCATGTTCACACTGTAGTACTGGTATGTCTTTTACCATTGAACGGGTGCCTTTTACAATGGATCTCAAGGACAATGTTGAAATTATGCAATTTTTTATTCACATGGTAAAACTATAACCAATTACTTTTCTGCATATCTTATCAGGTTATTATTAAACTGCAGTAGATCTTCATAAGAAGACATCAGTGATTACCATGGTTATATACCCAACTTCAGCAGCTTTTTTTTTTCAGGCTTTAATTTCACAGCTGCTGAAGTTGTGTACGTGACTGCAATGATCATTGATATCTTCACATCTTTCTCTGCAGTTCAAATATATGATCTTTTATTTATTCACTTGCTTTAGATCTTTATATCATCAAGTTCTGTCTGTAATCATACAAATAACAAACTGGACTCCTTTGCTGCCGTCCTCTTTTAGTTTGTTAATCACTTGTATGAACTGGACTCCACTCTGTCCTGATACCATTTAATGGGACTATTAGAGCTCAGCATTTTGCCACGGGCTAGCTAAAGTAATGTTCATAACTCTTAGCCTTTGCTCACTTTATTCCATTTTTTTGTAGATATAACTCAGTATGTCATGGTTTACTGAACTTGCTGGCAAAGCAGAGTCGCTTTTGGAGAAGGTTGACACTGCCGCAGCCTCAGCGCTTACCAAAGAACAGGTCAATCAGGAACCTGTTGGATTCATTGCAGCTAGACCAACGACAGTGAACTCTGAACCAACTCAGAGAATAACTGCTGTGCCATTCAATAACCAGGGAGTTGATAGTTTGAGAACACCAAGTGAAAGCAGTTTGTTAGGTGGGAAGGATTTTCTTTTACTGTCAACTCTGGATAACTTGAACCTTAAAGAGGAATTGAAAAAGGTTTGAGTTATCAATAGTTGAGAACAATGTGACAATAAATAAAGAAAAAACAGTGTTTACGGTGTAAATTTTAATCAAATTTAATTGTAGAGAAGTCAAGTGAAAATGGAGTAATACATTTCTTAGTTACTGTACAAATTAGAATGTATATTTAAGCATAATAAGAAACAAAAGAAACCAAGGCAAAGCAGCAGGAGAAGCCAAGGCACTGCAAACTTTGCAGGTTTCAAAGAAAAAAGAAAACTGTCAGGCTACTGCTACTGAGTTCTTGCAATTAACTTTTAAGAGAAAATGGTGTCAGTCTTGGACTACAGTACTGATTGTTGTCTGTCGTCACATATTGATAAACATGGTTCAAGTTATGCAGGGAAAATTATGTAGAAAATGACTCGATGGGAAACAAAAGTTGCTTTGAGTCAGCAGGAGGTTCAAGCTATTGAAGGTTTTGAGTTAGTTAGGGTACAATTACAGTAAATGTATGACAGAAATCCAGGGGAAATCGATTTTGGTTTGAGTGAGATTCATGCCAGGAAAGGTTCAAGTTATCAAGAGTCAACTGTACGTGTAGTGCTATCTTTCCCGCAGATGTTAGCCAGTGCTTTCAATGAGGTTTGAAATAGGTGTCTGTCCCGGTGTAGCACCTATCAGAGAGCAATAAGAGTGGTTCAAAACTTCTTCTAGAGAGCAAATGTTTAAAAAAAACTGCTGATGGTGTAGCTGGAGATTCTTGACAGAATACCTGGCAGAGCTTGGGCAGATGATAATACTTACTGATAGTACTGAGAAGATCTTTCTTACATCTATCACTAATCAGAATGTCCATATAAACTCTTTAGACTTAAAATAACAGGCAGATTGTTTCAAAACTGCTTTTGTTGTGTTTTCTGTTGGCCGCTTTGCCATGAACTGAATTGTTTCAAGTTTCCTTTAGTGTTGATAGCCTTACTTCTTTGTTTCCGTACCACAGGTGGTCCCACAGTTCCCATTAAGCCTCGGTTTCCCCCATCTGGTTCCAGAACACCTCCAAGGGTGACAAAAACAGAAAACAAAAATGATGATAAATTATTTGAGTTCCTGAACAGCAACCTCCCTGCTTCTAAGGAAAGAAAGCCTGTGAAACCAAAGATAGTGGCAGACAGTTCATCTGAAGCAGCAATCAAACCCAGTGACTCTGTAGAGAAGCTACAAGGTGATGTTGCAGATGGAAAAATTAATGAAGGTGAAGTGTCTGCTGATTCCTAGGGTTCAAAACTTAAATTCTCTTTACTGATTGCTCTACATTTCTGTTTGTGTTAGTTTTGAGAGTTTAAAGGTACATCCAAGACTGACAACATCTGCTAAACAATGGATTCCTTTATTTTCATCATTTTTAGTTACTTTTGGTTTGAATTCATAAAATGATAGTATGACCCTCCAACTTGATCACTCCATAAAAGTTTGAGAGTTAGACTGTATGATTATTGATTAATATTATCACTATGATTCATTATACTCACAGGGAAAAGCCTAGATCAGTTAACTTCTAGGTTTATTTCAGGGTGCAAAGATCGCTTTTGATAGTATTCATCACATCCATCGGCATGAGAATCCACCCAAACATGTACAATTTCAATTTCAACACTTGTGAACCATATACCTGGTTCATATCAAAATTCATCTTGTTTTTTTATGTGATTAAAGATGTCATACAAGGGATAGTGTCATTTTTGCTATAAATAAATAAAATAATTAGATAACTTTATTTAAGTGTCAAATGTATTTAGCACTGTTATGCTAATTGGGGACACTGTAAATAAATATACAAGTATTGCAAATAGAACATAAACTATTAAGAATTCCAACTGGTTGGAGGCTGACCAGTGGGCTATTTACACAACACGGTTGAGGAGTTAAACTCGAGACTACCAAGAACAAATCCATATAGCAGCAGGGTGGAAGATTTGAACCAGGGACCTCCAGATTTCAAATCCAGCACCCTAAACCACTCAGCCAAGCTTTCTCATAGTGATATGAAGTGATGTTGTGTGCTGCATATTTTGTTGTTGTGGCTAGGAATTGTTGCCAAGAGCACTGCAGAGGCAGATGAAAAAATGGCAGACATTACAGACATGCCTAATGGGCCCAGCATAGAGGAGCCTCAATCACAGGACATGCCTCAACATGACACTACTGCTGCCAGCCAACGTCCAGCAGATGACCGTGTGTCCAACCTTGAACTAGAGAACACACTACTTAGGAAAGAAGTTGCATCACTCAACGAAGAAATGGTTTCTGTAGTGCAAAGGGCCAAGGAAGCTGAAAGAAGTAAGCATAACTTTTTAAGTGGTTTAGATGTATGTAGCTTTAAACTTGTAAAAAAACAGCACTCTAAACAGAAATTGAGACTGCCATGGTTTTTCATCAATATAAAAACTACCGTCATGGCACCTTCCTCTAATAATATCATGATTGTCTGATCATAATGGCCATTACATACATTTGTAGGTAGTTATTTACAGGTCATGTGGTTAGCTCTTGGCCTATGAAAAGAATGAAAAAATGCATCAAATAATAAAATTTACTGTATGTGATATATTGCCATGACATTGAAGTTAGAAATAGGGTTTATGGGAAAAGTTTGGGAGAAGAAATTCTGGTTTTTCTATCACAGAAGTAAAAGAAGCAGAGAAACAGCTTCAAAGAAGCCAGGACCAGTTATCAACTTCTGAGGACATTGCAAGGCAGTTGAGAATGAAGGAGGAGGATTTTACGGAGGCACTTAATGCCAAGGACTCACAGCTGGCTGTGTTAAGAGTAAGGATACAAGAGTCAGACCAGGAACTGCACAATAAACGACAACAAATTGAAGAGTACCAGCTAGAAAGAGAAAGGTCTGACAATATTAAAAGAGATAGTTTTGTTTTTCCCAAGAGTCGTGATCTTTCCCTTAGCATACCTATTAATTATGAGACTAGAAGAGTTATCCCCAGTAAACAACTCAGATCAAAGATGTCTGTAAATTGTCAAATTCAAGTCATAGACTGAATCAAGCTAACCCTCAGAAGGGTTATGTGATGTATCATGTAAAATATGAGGATATGTCAAATCCCAAATTTATGAGCACTTACATGTATTGTCAGTGGTGTGTATTTTTGGAGTTTTTTATGCCAATAAACATAAATAAAATTAAAAGATAATGTTAAGGCAAATAACCTCTGGTTATTATGAAGTTCTTCAACAATTAACAAATAATTATTGTTGCCTGCCATGCAGCATCTAGATTTACATGTAGCAATTCCCAGGTGTTCATAAATAAAATGTAATAAAAAATAAAATAAAAATGTGTGTTAGATTCTTTCCAGCTATATAGCAATTGTTATTGTTTTCAATTAATAGGTTGGTGGGTAGTTAGTGATCCTAACAAGTTGTTGTTATTTCTGTTGTTCTTTTAGACTACTGCATGATCACTCAGCATCTACTGGAGTGCACAGTCATGCTTTAGATACACTAAAAGCTAAACTGGAAGAAGCTGAGAAGAAACTCAAGTCTGAACAGGAATCTCAAAAGAAAATGGAGGTATGTCATCATAACAACACTGCGCTGACACTACGGAAGCCTAGTTTTTGGGGGGGGAGGTGCTCCCTTGTATGGGCTATATACAATAGGTATGTGTGGCCCCAAAGGGTACAGTTGTGAGCTGGTTTGGTCTGATTTTGACCATTTTGGTCTCAAATAAGGTGCAATATGTTTAAATTCACTCTGGCTTGGCCCTAGGTATTTTGTTTACAAGGAGCTAATTTTTCAACATCAAACCTTTACACAACAATTGGAAGCCATTTCTGGTTAGCTGTGGTCAATATGGCCATATATTAGAGCTGTATAAAAATTTTAGAGGTCTGAAATTATATGGGGTATGGATATTCGGCTCAGGTCTGAAGTAGGTTATGGGAAATCACAGATTTTTGCCTGAAGTAAGGTAGTTTCAGGCCACACACCCCCACCAGAAACTTTGTGGAATTCCCCTTCTCCTCCNTTTTTTTTTGTTAATTTTTTTTTTGTTAGCAAGAGGCCATGGAGAGGCAAACTAAACTTCAAGAGGAACAAGCAGCCATGGTTGAGTCACTGAAAAATATGCAAAAGAAAATTAATGAAGAGAAGAGTATCTGATTATTTAAGACAAGTTGCTTATAAGTTGTGGATGTTTTCAGATATTGTCATCATTGCTTAATGTGATTGTTTTTTTATTACTTTAAACTGATTGTTCAAATTTAGTATTTGGCTACAGGTTCACTTGAAGGACAAAAGGAGAAAATTATAAAATGGATTCTGGACCCATAGTTTGTGATCATACAGGAAAATATACCTGATCAAACTGGACACATTGTGTGGACCTTTTTGCGACAGTTTAGTTCCAATAGTCAATCTGTTATTGCCATCAGATTACATGTAGCACCTTGCACTCCTTAACCTTACCATAGATAAGAGTAATGACAATGCAGCAGCACTTAAAACTGCAAAAGCAAATATGGAAACTGCAAAGCAAGATCTGAAGGACTACAAGGACAAAGCAGCCAGAATTCTTCAGGTGAACAACTTACATGTATTCATGAATAAGCTTGTGAATTTTGTAATAGTGTCTGTGGTGCTAGACGTCACATCCACAGTCTGATAAATTATTTGTATTCCGCACAAGTGCAGCGTGTGTCTGATTCTTCTCAGTCACGACTACTTTTAATAAGCTGTGACCATTGTTGTGGGAGTGGCCAGATGGTAGATCTTCAATTTCGCGTTATGTTGCACTTCAGTACAACATAACTAGTGTCTAAGCTGCTCTATTGTTACTTCATTTTACTAATCCCAGTATCCAAACAGTGGCTGTTATGTTCTAGAAGACTAGTCTTGAGTCCACAGTTCCCTTCACTTACACTAGAGGTGTACACTACAGATATACACTGGAATGTTTTTGGGCAGTGGCTTGAAATGGTCCAGCATTCTATTCCGGGATTTACACTTGGTACACTAAGCAAATTAGTTTACTACCAGACATGATTGACTTTGAAAACATTGAAAACAGATTGAGATTCATGTTTGGTAATGAGTCAAATAACAGTGGTTTGCAGATGAACCCAAATAAAAGAATACAGCTTAAAGTTTATTCCATTCATTGGTTCATGGCGTAATAGCTATTCCCATAGTCAGATCTATGTTCTGGTAAAATAACTGATAAGTTTTACGTAACATTTTCTTGTTAGGCTAAAGACAAAGTCATAGCAAGTCTCCGTGATGGAAGTAGTGGAGAGGTTACCAGTGGTATCAGTAGTTCAGAATATGAGGAGGTTTGCCATGAAAGAGACATGTTTAAAGATGAAGTTAACCAGATCAAGTACAAAATGGAGCAACTCAAGGCTGATCTACAGGTAGTCAATCGTCAATCCTTTTCCCTTGCTTTCCTTCATCATTCTGTCATTGTGGTGTTTTTCCTTGAATTGGAGAACGCTTTTATACACTATAGTCTCCAAAAATTAAAGCATTGGTATTAGTTGAACCAGTCCTAGCATTTGCTTTCAGCTGGTCACAGGTACCCCATCGTCGATTATTGTGAATAAATATTGTCAATTGGTTTATACATTGTTGCAAACTACAAGGGAGTAATTACTTGTCTGTTAAAGAATACTGGTTTGGAACCTTTGACTTTTTGATGCAGCTTATAAATTAATCTTATAGGACCTGGAACAACAACAACAGTCAGAAGCAGATCTGGCCCGAGAGAAGGTAGAGGAAATAGAAAGTGTCTTGGAAGATGAAAAGAGGAAAAGAGAGGCCTGCGAACAGCAAATTCAACAACATCTTCAGGTAGAAACAGTCACACTATGAAATGTTTATTTCTTGTTTGCCTCTTTCAATATTTATGATTCGGGAAATATTGTAGTATGTAATGTGTGTAACTCAGATATCTATCTATCTATCTATCTATCTATCTATCTATCTATCTATCTATCTATCTATCTATCTATCTATCTAATGTGTATATTAAATGTGTGACTGAATTGCTGAATTGTCAAAACTGTCATGCTTCAGTATTGCTTTGCATGCTTAACCAGATATACATGCACAAATGTTAACATAATGTAAGCTATGATTACTTTTGAAGCACGATAGATAAAGCCTTAATCTGACATGGCAAAGAATGGTGTATTATTACTCACAACAAATTTGTCTAGTCCTTTCAAAAGTTCTCGACTTTCTTAAATTCTTGTGATTATTAATGGTAATTGGACCGAGTGGAATACAATTTAGGAGGCAATCGGGCGAGCGTGTAGATAACAAATTTTGAGATTATTCCATAAGCTGCAAAAACTGAGGAACATTAAAAAGGAAGCCATTAAAGCTGATTAAATTGACGTGCAAGTGGCGTACGTATCCAATTACAGGTATCCGACCGCAAAAAGTTAAAATTGGATACCTGCAATTGGACATCCACGTGATCGCGCACCGACTCCCCGACAAATAGGTGCGCGGAGAACTAATCACGATCGAGAATTTTGTTATATATACGAATATTTCTGCGTTGTAGTCATCAACTAACAATCTTTTGTTTTGTTAGGACCTCCATCATGCACAAGATGAAGTACGAGGGACTAAAACCAGCTTCATGGCACAAATACAGGTAGATTTCTATTTCAGGTTGTTTTTCAGTGAATTCCTTTTGTGTCTGCTACGTTTGTCTGCTCACAAACCATTCGATCTTTTCCTACAGGAGAGAGAGAGTGAAATTCAGAAACTGAGAAATCAGGTAATTCAAAATGTTGTATTTCAAGTAAACTCAACTTTCTGAAAATCTAAAAAATTGATACCCAGCTCGAAAAACCAATCTCTGACAATCGCAAAAATTAGTTCCCGCAAAAAAAAAATCCCTGATCCGTAAATTTAAACCTCGTGCTACATGGTATGCCTGGGTTTTATTTACTTTATACGCTGAATGAAATGTTAGTTTTTGTGCTCTTTTTGTAACTTGCACATTATCACTATTGCTATTACGTTGTACAGGCAGCAGCTAATTCCTTCAATTTTTGTTTCATCCTCCACAGCTTGCAACCAAGGCGCTTACATCTACAAGTGAAGAGGAATTGGGAAATCGAGTTAGAGCATTAACTGAGAACCTCATCCAAAAGCAAACACTGATCGAGGCCCTTAGTACAGAAAAGAACTCTCTGGTGTTACAGCTGGAAAGATTAGAGGTATGAGCACCTTGTACTTATCTTAGTCCTATATGTTTTTTACTTATTCAATAACTGGAATTAATTAGTGTCCCCACATCAGTACAGGATTGTTCAATTCCAACACTGAAATAAAGTTTCATGAGAATAATGATGAGCGTCTTCTAGAACAGGCATGTTGTTAACCTGATCAGGGAAACAGTAAGTACTCAATAACTGGCCGTGAGTTTTGTTTCCCCGAGACGCGCCATTTCGCCCCGGGGAACATTGAGGGTCAAGGGAAAACTAAACTCACTCTTTCCCGTGAGGCCAGACATTAAGGACTTATTGATTTGTAAAGATAGTAGATTTTGATTCTGACAAGAGAGGATGTAACACGTGACTGACTCGCTAACCAGCACTAAAAAGCACTTGCATAGAGCAAGGGTACAACAATACAAAATACTGTTCAAGCAGCCTTTTTTATTTCTTATTTGTTTGTTTGTTGTTTGTTTTTTTTTTTTTAATAATTAGAAACAGTACAGAGATGTACAGGCGTCTACCTCCAAAATGATGGCAGGACCTTCAGCATCTTATGACGGTTTTGACGACACGGACGAAAACACCCGTAAGTAGTGCGAGACTTACCTTCACTCGTGTATTTTATCTTCACAAGCCATGGGTTTTATTTTTATTTGTATTTTTTTAATATTAAACACTCGAAAATTTATTCCCGATCCCTGTGGAAAGGTTATTACCTTGTTAAAATGACACAATGTAAGGTAAGCATCATCGCACGCATTCTTGAATAAATCCTGCCGGCAGATTTCAGCAAAATGGGTTATTTTTAGCCGCTTGTGGCAGCGAGCATTACGCCGGCAGAACAGGAGAGTTTTAAGCAGAATTTGAGCCGAATGAGCAAAAGCAGGGTTGCCACAGATTAGTCCGAAAAATAAAATTCAAGATCAGGGTAAACTCACGATATTTTATTTTGAGTCAGGGAAAACTGACGTTTCGAAGGAAAGTCAGGGAAAATTGAAATAATTTAACGCGGCTGATTTAAAACCATTGAAGGTTGGAAAAATCAGTTGGGACCACTATGATCTCAACGATGTTTTTCCTTAATGGAAAATGAAAATTTGTTTAAAAATTATCATTTTTAATGAATGGGTGGAAAGGACGGCTGTGAGGGAGGCTAGAAGCAGCTACTATATCTGACATTTTGTATTTACTTGGCCGGGGGAAAGTTTATTTTTACTGGGGAAAAGTCAGGTAAGTAAGGTCTGTGGCAACCAATAAAATGTACCAATTAAAACTCTTAAATTCTAAAATGAAAAATTAAATTCAGAAGTGAATGCAAAACAAAAGGTGATTGACACTGAAATTCGACCTACAGACAAACAAAATACTATTTTACCGAGTGGAAGAGCTGTCCATGTAGGTGAACCAATTTTTACTAACACCGAGCAGAATTGATCCAAGCTTTATTGCACGTCACATATGACCCGACTGGGCGGCGCCGCCGCGGAGGCGGTGTTTCCTTTTCATCACGTTGCATGGCAATATGTTAGTCTTCAAAAATATTTCTTTCTTCCCTGCTGCCGAATCTTTTAAATTGATATTGACTGCTGTCTCTCTTTCAGTGTCTCGCGTGAGGTCAATATCGTCCATAATGCCCTCCCAACTTAATGATTCCAGAAAAGTCAAAAGAGCAGTTAATGAAATCGACAAATTCAGGCAAGTATTGAATGTTTTCAGGGAGAAGATTGAATAGTAGAGAGCTTAAGTAAACCACGACGGCAACAGCGACAAGAAAGCCACCAAACAAAACGTTCAATGAGCAGAACAATATCTGTGCACGTGCGTTATAAATCTTTGTACATTTCTTTGCTGTCCTCTGCACAACAACAACGTGAAGTGACTTACTTCTGCGTATTTTGGAGAACGCGAACGATGCCGGCTAATTTTTCGTATTTTCATTTGGAATTAAACGCTAGCGTTACATATTAAACCTGAGCAAGTTCTGAGACCAATAGGCGCACTGAACAGATCTAAGGTAAATTATGAATTCATTTTTTACTAGGCGTTGTCCTCGAGTGGGTCAATATAAACGACCTTGATACACGTTAATGCTCACAACCCAAGACCTTTGTTTACTAACCGACCAACATGTACTAATCTGAGAAAAGCGGTTTTCGTTTTTTTTAACTGCTAATTTTGAACTGCAGAATTAGTATGACTTTTGTCAAATGAAGAATAATAGACGAAACAAAAACGTAAAATTCGCAGACGTCTAATAGACACAACTTTTGCCAAAGCGTAAAAGTGAATTCTAAGTTGTCGTTATGTATGGAACGATCGGTTCCTTTTCACAAACTACACATATACCCATTCAACACTTGTAAAGGAACAGATTCATATCTGTCAGGAAGGCACGTGTTATAAAACCTGTTAGCACGACACTGTTTTTAATAAAAATCAGATACTTCTTCTATGATCGGCCATTAAGGAAATGATTACTAATGCAAATCCATTTTTCTGACATCAATTTCCTTTCGAGGAGAGGTGAAATATGATAATAAAAGTGAAAACACATAGTTTTCAAGATCGCAATTCCAATCGTAAAGCCGCTTTTTCTCTTAGTAGCTTCCAGTAAACCCGATAATCGACCGCAGTACTGTAAGTGTCGACTTTTTTTAACATGGCGTCGCTGAGCTCTCATTGTTACACCTATTAACCCTGTTTTAGTCAGGGGTTGAAAGTGGCGAGTTTTTTTCTCCTCACGTTTGATATTTTTTCTGTTTCAGTATCAGACTTGGTCTATTTCTGAGGAGATATCCAGTTGCGAGGCTGTTTGTCATTATTTACATGGTAAAGTTCTCTTGTCTTACATGTATTGCCTATTTATTCAGTGTACTCAGCTTGTCTGCTTCAGTGGGAGGGTTTGTCTTCTTAATATCCTGGTTATGCAAATGCGGTCTTTTTCGGACCCGTCTGTTTTTACTTAAAAATGATTGCAATACAGTAACGAAAATTATTCAAATTCATAAACGCCACGTGAAAGTTATCTATGTTGTTTATCTGTTTGAAATATCGTAAAACACTCGAGTAAAAACTAAGTAAAATATCTTTCTGTTTACACTTATGATAGTGAAAAATCCTCCTTGGTATTCAATAACTTTTTTTTCCCTTTACTTTGTTTGGCAAAGGTTAACGTGATGTTCGTTTTCGGTTTAATGTAAAATATCAAAGAACGTTTCGAGTGTTTTTTTCATTTTTGACCCTGGAGGGGTAAACTAGGAGTTTTTCAGAATAAATACTTTTTTTTCAAAACAGTAAAAATAGAGTTTTCAGTTCTCTTTTGTCATTCCATATCAAAATGGCTGAACCAATTTTCTGCGGTAAAACTCATTTCATTTAACACCTACGCTTTTTCTCATAAATGGAGTAAAGTCTAATGTACTACCTGGAACAGTTTGTTGTATGAGATTCAATGTGTCAAACTAGACTGATATTTATATTAGGGGGTTGACTGAAGCGAATTTTTACAGGCGTTACTGGTTTGAATCAGAATCGTATCCTTAATTATTAAGTTCTGTCGTGATGTACTAAAAGAACAGGTTTCTGAGTTTTTTCTGTATAGTTGAAGATAATTTCACAAGGTGACTATAAAACTCTTGACTTAAATATATATGTAACTGATACAAAAATCATGTGTATCTCGTGCTGTTCTGATGGTGAAGATTTGTCAATTTGTTATCGACTGTTCCATGTCAACGTTGAATCCCCCAAGCACGTTTATTTTTATTACGGCGCAAATGAGTCGTTATCAACCATTGTGCCACGGAGATTACGCTAAAATTTCTCACTTTACTTAGCTGTATCAATGTTATGTTTTTTACTCTATATATTTAAACAGAAGTTTTGTTTCCTGAGGACAAAGTGACTGATAAGTATTTTTTTGATTATTTATTGCTGTCTAGGTATTGCTTCACATATGGGTCTTAATTGTTCTCCTCACGTACCAACCCGAGGTTCATACAACCAGTTCAACTCGCCTGCCACGACCTCCTAATTAGCTTCTGCAAAACTGTTTTCAAATGACTACTAGGACAAAATCAATTCTAAACATCGAGCGCCGAATAGGTCCGAACAATCCGAGGCAGCCGGCGCGCAGTGAATTTAGTCTTGACAAACAACACAGAGGGCTTGTCACATTTCAAGAATCATGGACAAGTACAAAATGATAAGCTTAGTAATGGTCAGTAATGGTTGACTGAGATCCATCGAAACTAGCAGTAGACGTACAGTGGGTTAGAAGTCACTGAAACTTCACTGGCAATTAGTGTCTGTTGAAAGTACTGTAAATAAAATTCTCGGATATATTTATACTCAGTAAAGCGCTTTGACAGAACTCTGAGACACAAAATAAAATCAAAGTGCAATATAATTTTAGCAAGCAAGGGCAATAGTGTTGAATTAAAATAAAGCAAAGTTGATCATCAACAAAACTATTTTCATGCTAATCTTTTGCGTCGAGTGATCCTGTAGCATTTAAAATAAGACTCCTTTAGTGATACAGCAACGAATATTGATATTATTTTGATATCTTCTCGATATTATAAACGCGACTGAGTGAGTTGTTGATCGTATGCATGACGGAGCAGAAAAGGGCTAATAACCGTAACGCACACTGCTGATGAGATAAACACGAACTTGTCACAAAACAGAAGGATGGGCTGAGCTTGACCTATTAACACCGCTAAACCTTAAAATAGCCGTTTTTACATGGAACTGTTTGATACAGACTACCGTGGCTTCGCTGCAGGATTCGCAACTTTCATTAATTTGAATTTTTTTCATTGCTTCAACTTCAAATAGATTGACGGGAGACAAATTGTGGCGAGGAGCACCCCCTGGTGACGGAACATGCATTGCGTGAGAATCATGTCGTGATTAGCTCGAGTACAGCACTTGATCAGTTTTTGTACCCCCATTGACCTAGCAGTGTGATCCGAACAGCGCTGTTTACCAGAATGCCATTATTAAAAGGCAATGTTCGTTTTAAAGCGCATGGTAGCTTGGCTCTGTCGCTGGTGGAATGTTTAAGCTTTGCACCCTTGTGTCCAGTGTTAAGATGCGTTTAGACTCGAGGACAGAGCTAGCGCAGTTCAGTCTTGCGTCACCACTTGTCTTGTTGACAGGCGCGCGCTTCAATACAACAGCGGTCACGGCTGAATGGTCTAGTAACGTAACAAGCATGCAAGCTTGTGTTTTCTCTAGCGTAGGCTTGCCTGCGTTCAACAGCGTTACGGCTGGCACAGACCTCGTGCAGTAATCGCAAGTAATGGCAAGGGAATCATCATCACGCTTGATTTGCAGCAATAACACGGCAACACGACTACAGCTTAATTGATCGATAGTTTCGAAACCACATCGTTGAAAAATCAGCAGGAGTGAAAAACCTCAAAACAACCATTCAATTACCTGATCTCCGACGACCTTAGACACCATGTTGTTCCGATAAGGGCTTCTTAAATGTTACACTAAATTTTTGCTATGTTAGTGTGCTGGCACAAGTTTTACCCCGATATTTAGTTCGATTGTAAAATAACACAACCTCGAAATGAAATGTATGGAAGTTTTAGTTGCATTCCGTGTGCGTTCCAGAAGTTTCCCGATGAAAAGAACCCTTTCAGCATCTCGCACTAACGGCGTGACACATTTCCATATAAACATTTGTCGAAGTGTATCGGCTCCTGCAGCGATAGAGCTCTTATAAGAGGGCAAGACCAAGTAAACAGCTTGTAATATTTCAAGATCGTATATTTTATAAGTGAGTAGTATTTGTTTTGAACACACATGAGCTGTTAAAACAGTGTTGCGATAAGGTCATGACAGCCATCATAAAGCCGGGTGTGTCAATACAGTGATTGAGTGTTGGAATCCTTTTTTGTCGATATAGTGATTGACTGTTGGAAAATATTTGTAAAGAACTACTCGCTTATCATGTGTTTTAGCTGCTTACTTGTATGTTATCCCATTGAAAGCACACGTGCGAGTGAGTTTATCCCTAACCTAGGCAAGTACAAGCGTTACCATTTGTAATGCCATTTGTAAATGGTTCTAATCCGATGATGCCACTAATCTGCGGTCAGTTATATCACACTCCGTTGTCTGTTGCTCGGATTTGCTATGTTCACACACTAACTACTTGTTAATGAGCGTTCAAACATCGGCTACTCGGCAGCGTAGCAAATGAGAAAGCAAATGAGCTGAATAGAAAATAATGCTTTTGTTCAGTCGAAAAAAGGAGGTTCGGCGGTCAATTCAAGTATCAATTAGCTATAATTCTTTAGGGAATAATTTTACCCTTGAATGTGTCAATTAATTTGGTCGTTTTGTTATATGAGTTACTCCGTAAACAATTGAAGGGCGTTTCCTAGGACAAAAACGCTTTCTTGCGGAATAAACGTCTGCTCTACAAGGGATGAAATAGAAAGGCACTTGTTATGCAGCTACTTGAGCGCTTTATTCAAACCACTAGGAGGCTACAACTGAGCTTGTACTCTCACGGTATCTCGACACTGCACACTAGCCCCCAAGGATTGAATAGCCAAGCCTTCTGAGAGTGTGACAGATAACGGGTGTAAATGGCTGTAATCGCAAAACAAATTGTTCTGTGTTTAGTCAGACGCTGTCTGAAGTTATAAGATAATAGCAGATTGGTATGGCAGCAAAACAGGTTGCTGATTGCATCGGGCTATCAGTAAGGCCGTAAGTCCAGAATGTTCTTCCCCCCAACTTTGTCAAGTCTGTTTTTGCAGTTGGACAAACTATGCTGATATGCCATTCCGAAATTAAAGGCCACACTTCAAATTCATTTTTAAAATACAAAAGTGGTTTTAATGTTGTAAGCCATTGTATTTGGTTGTCAATTGCTTTAAATATACAGATTATATGATGTTTACACTTGTGTTTTCAACGGAAAATTTATTTTAAGTTCTCATTTCACGTGCTTTCCTGGCGTTGCTTCAAACAAGGGCTAGTTTAGTTATTTACTATGCTAGTAATGTTAAATCAAAGCAAGTCGCCACTCGGAGGAATATTTCCGTTTCGCGGCGTTAATATATTATCAAAACACACATCTGTTGTTAAGCGCATGCGCAGTCAATCATAATATATACATACCAAATTCAACTTCTTTTCAATTGGCGAGCGCCGTCAGTTGCTTGGTAGGTATCCTTTTCTTCCACCAACCAGTAAGAATGGAAGCAGCTGGCATCTTGCTGACGATAATTTGAATGTGAAAAGACATCTCTATGCTTTTTACGCACCAGAGATCGCTGTTTGAACGCAAGTCTACTGACGATTCATTGGGCTCTGCCGATTTCGCGGCGTCCGGTCAACATCCTAGGGTCGGAAGGACTTCGAAGTTGACAATTTTTTTTCAATTCGCACTTTTATCTTTCATAGATGTAGAGTGGCACTAAAGATGCCGTACGTTAAAAGGCTCGCGCTTCAGACGGGCATAATATGTGCATTATGGTGCGCTTTTCTACAACAGACCGTCTATGGAGCCGATCCAACATGCGAATTAAGGACAGATTGTAAACCGGGGATTGTTTTGCCTGTTTGGGGAGGCAATCCTTCTACTGGCGAGATTGTTGGGCGAGCCTTTGTCTACCTGCTTGCCTTACTGTTTTTCTTTTTGGGCGTTTCGATCATCTCCGATCGCTTCATGTCAGCCATAGAAATTATAACGTCGAAAGAAAAAGAAATAAGGATAACAGACAAGCAAACTGGAAAGGAGCGCGTTTTAACTGTGAAAATATGGAACGAGACTGTGTCAAATTTAACTCTCATGGCTCTGGGTTCATCTGCGCCCGAAATCCTGCTATCAGCCATTGAAATTTGCGGTAATGACTTCAACGCTGGCGAGCTCGGTCCCTCGACAATTGTCGGTTCTGCAGCGTTCAACCTATTGATTATTATTGCAGTGTGTGTTTACGTTATTCCTGATGGAGAGGTTCGCCGTATCAAACATCTACGAGTATTTGCCATCACAGCATCGACGTCCGTGCTCGCCTACGTGTGGTTGTACATCATACTGGCAGTGTCATCCAAAGATGTAGTGGACATCTGGGAAGCAGTTCTTACCCTAGCCTTCTTTCCCATAATGGTATTGGCTGCCTACATAGCAGACCGCAAGCTGTTGTTCTACAGAGCACTGCGAAAAAAGCGAAGAAAGCAAATACGCGGAGGCTTGACCGTCATCCAAACCGGCGATTTCGACGTTGTTGGAGTTCAAGTCAAGGACGGGTTTGTCGATGGTAACCTCACCGATGGCCGTTACGAGCCGAACGCCGCCGAAGGTGGTGGAGAATTTGACAATGACGAGCTTCTTCACGATCTCACAGAGGACCGACGCGAAAAGGCTATTCAAGCCTTGAAAGACATTCGCCAAAAACATCCCGATGCCGACCGAGAGACCGTTGAACGTCTCCTGGAGCAAGAAAATCTCAAGCTTCAACCTAAAAGTCGAGCGTTTTATCGAATCGAAGCCACTCGCAAGATGGTTGGCAGCGGGAATGTTCTCAAAATGAAGCACGAAAAGCTTGAGAAGGCCAGTAGCTCCTTAGCAGATGCAAAGATGGAGATGCAAGATATCGTGTACGAAGACCCGCAAGTAGTCAGGGTTTATTTTGATCCTGTCCACTACATTGTCAAAGAAAATTGTGGCAGTGTGTTTATGAACATTTCACGCACTGGCGGTGATCCGAGTAACACGGTTTTTGTGGACTTCCGAACGGAGGACGGCACGGCCAAGGCCGGTGAGGACTATGAGAAGACGGAGGGCACCATCTGTTTCAGGCCAGGAGAATCTTCCAAGACCTTCTCCGTCGTGATCGTTGACGACGATATATTTGAAGAAGACGAGCACTTCTACGTGCACCTGGGCAATGTTCGTGTTGCGGGAGCGGACGGCGACTTGGTGCGCAACACGTACCGAGGCCCGGCTGGAAAGGTTGGTAAAGATGGTGTCGCTACTGTTACCATCCTAGATGATGATTATCCCGGGATTTTCACATTTGAAGAGGAAAAGAACTCTGTCACAGAGGCAGATGGAGTGATTAAACTCAAAGTGATTCGCCACACGGGGGCTCGGGGCACCGTCCGTGTTCCTTACCACACCGTAGAGGGAACAGCTAAAGGTGGAGGCGAGGATTACGAAGATGCTGTTGGCGAGTTGGAATTCATGAACGACGAAACATGGTGAGGTTTACTTTCTTGCTGTTGTCTTAGTTTAGATTACAAATTTAAAATACATGTAATATAACAAAGAGCGGTAATTGTTTTCCCTTCTGCCTGTTCGCTTAATGTTAGGAGTGGAAAAATGTTTAAAAAAAGAGAGAGGGAGAGAGGCGGCATTATTTACAAACTTATTAACGATTTTATCCGAGAACTTAAGATTTTTCTTCTCAGTTTTTATTGCCCCGAGCATATTTACATACAAATCAATTGAGGCAGTCGAGCGTTTTTGAAAGTTTCGTCAATGCCATTTTGTGAATCGATCTAAGATCAAACGGGTGCCTTTGTTTACAATATGCCTGGTAGATCGACTCAACCTCTTATTGTCGTGACGGCCACGTCAACCCGTGAACATTCTCGCTACCCTCTGTGAATTCACCAAAAATTTAGCCTGTGCTGATGATGAGTCGTTCGTTCGTTTACATCTAGCTTCTATTTTCCAGATGTTCCAGTGTTGATTTATGCAAGCGATTTGATAATTTATTCGACTTTAACAGACCCTTTAGCCGTCCTTTTTCTCCTGTAAAAACTGCATGTTCAGCTAAGGTGATCAAAATTCAAATCTCTCAGAGAAAGTCAGGCAGATATGTAAGTGCGTTGCTAATTTCTGGTATCGATTTCTCTAGTGATATTTGGCTGCTATTAAACTTGCTCTTCGCTTGAATGGCAAAACAGTTTCCTCATTGAGGGAACAAATTTCCATAAACGTAAATTACGTTGTTCTTTCTGCGTTTAGAAAGATAATTAGCCTCGAATTAATTTGTTACCAAATGTAAGTCTGCCGGAGTTTTGTGTTTATCTTGATATTTGTGAGCACAAAGGATAATCTTAGACACGTATTTAGCTGGCAGTAAACACATTTCATATGTTTAAGTAACAACGCCACAACAGTTGACTTGGCTTTCTTTGTCTTAATTTTAAACATCTGAAACATTTAAAGGAATATCTGGACCCCATGGCTGGTGATGTGGTAGAAAGAGATTTCAGGCAGTTCCTTTTCTCTGTTCAATTTCTCGATCCTGCTGTATATTTTCGGTTTTAACAATCAGGAACACTTCTCTGGAATCTGATCTCATCAACAGAACTTTCCATCAAGAGTGTCAAAACTTCTTATGTATGAGTCATGATTACGCATATTGCTGATAGTAACTTGATTACAGTCATGGTTGCCACAGATATCGCTTTTCAAAATTCCCTGACTATTCCCTGACAAAGATAAAATTTCTCTGACCAAATAAGTAAAAACAAAATATCAGATATATACAGGTGGTTTCTGGCCTCCACTTAAGGTAATTCCTCTGAAATAAAAGTGACAATAGATTTTTGTTCAAACTTTGCCCACTGAATATTTGTCATATGATAACTTCAATTTTGAAATAAAAAAGGGGGGTGCCCATGCTCATTAAGAAGCAGCGAGGCATTGAAAATGCCCCATTTTGGCATTATTTAATGCTTATTATAAGAACGCATTCCCAGTAATTGTAAAATCTTTGTGAGCCCAGACTCATATGAGCACGCATTAAATTACAGTCAATACATTGTGTTGGACACAAATAAAGATTTTAAGTTTGATTCAGACAAAGCTAAATCCTTGATTAAAAATTTGAACTAAATTTCTTGACGTGGTTACCAAACTGCAAAATAGAAAAGACCACAGTGTATCTGCTATTTTTCTTATTTATTCAATTTTCAGCAATAGAAATCAGATCAGTCTTTTCTCACGCAAAGCTTATGATTAGTTGATTACAATGACTGGAAAAAAAAATTGGGGTGCCCGTGCTCGTTGGTGAGCTATAGCCATTTTTTCAACTGACAGAGCTCAATATCAAGGCAAATCCATCATGTTTTCAATATGTGCGTGCGTGAGCGCGCGCTAATGACGCCATAAATTATGCGCAGTAAGGATGCGCGATGCAAATGTGAAGAATGACCTTAAAGCAGTTTTTTGCACCCAGTCTTCAATGGTGTTAAATCAGCCATGTTATAATTTCAATTTTCTGTGACATTTTTTCAAAATGTCTATTTCCCCTGACTCAAAATAATGTTCTCTGACTTTTCCTTGACCTTAAAGAAATTTTTTTTCTGGCCTCTGGCAACCCTAGCAGTGGTTGTCAAAAAGAAAAAGCATTCTGTCTCAGGGTCAGCAACAATACCCGTCATGTGATAAGTATAAGTAATCATACGGTTTCGAGTTCAATTTGGAATTAATTTGCACGAGTGAGTTTTTCAAAAAGCTGAAATTGCACGAGCCACTTTGGCTCGTGCAATTTCAGCTTTTTGAAAAACTCACTCTTGCAAATTAATTCCATATTGAACGAGAAAAACTGTATGATTACTTATTAATAATATAAACATGAAAAAATTTGCGTAGAGGAAGTGCCAGAAGACCTTTCTTGAAGCCATTTTTCTCATTTGAGAAAACTTTTTTCAAAGTTTCCACGCAAAATTTTCCTTATCAGTTTACGTAATATCTTTGGCTTCGAAAATTTCCTATTGTCTTTCAGCCAATCATAATCCAGAATTACGATGTGTAATTTGCACTGGTGTTACACTTTTTGCACCGGTGTTACACTTTTTGCACTGGTGTTACACTTGAATTGCACTGCTCTCAGCCAATCAGAATCGAGTAATTTTTTCATGTATATTATTAATATGGTAACAACCTACTCCATGCTATTTGTTTGCTGGAACAAATTCCTGACTTATTTTTGCACCCTTTTTTAAGGAACTCAGTGAGGCTATTTTGACATCTTGAATATTATCCTTGCTTCCTGTAAATATAGATATTTCTACATCAAAATATGTAAAAGTATTCATAGTGAGTGACATATCATTGTAGAATTAAAAATTTACAGTTCAGGTTTTGCAAGTGAAAGGAGAACTCATTGAAGCAACAGTGCACAGATATTTAACAATGGCTTTGTTACTGTCGCTTCATCTCATTGCTTAAATAAAATTGCTCACAGGCAGCTGTGTAATTTTGGACATGACCAACACCTTCCTTAAAAGGTATTAAAATAAGCTCCATGAATAGATTCAGTTACATCAATATTTTGGTTCTTGCTCATCTGATGAATTGTTTTAAGTCAACAGGAAATACCTTCATGTAGTCAGTGGAAGCTTACAATAGCTCTATTTCCACATTGGACAAAATTTTAGTGTTCTCTTAATGTTTACACTTTATTTGGGTTAAACCAGTATTCTGGGCCAGTCTCTGCTAGACAAGATTAAACTATTCCAGTTTTACTGTCAACTTTGTATCATAGGTATATATTATATAAATTCTGCTGCTTCTTAAAATGAGTGGGGAAAACCAACCTTGAAACAATAAAAATTTAAACTCATAGTTATATTTAGCCCTGGCTTACACAGTAATAGTCCAGTTAGCGAGAGAGTATCACCATTGGAGTATGAAACTTGTCTGACAGTTTTTAAGCTGAAGTATATTTGTTTCAATTAGTTGAATTCCTGAATCAGTTAAATGGCAGATATTTGTCTCTGCCAGAGGTTTTTATATGGTTTTGAATATATCAATCCAAGTGAATGCCAGTTTACATAAATATTTAACAAGAAAGGGTGTAAATTAAGTCCATTCTCATTTTACTTTTTTTATAAAACACTTATTTGCCAATTAAAGGCTTTGTCCTCCCTAGAAATTCAATTAGAAGCTTTCTTTTCCAAGGAAATTCTTTTATTTGGTAGTTAAAATGCAGTGTTGAATAGTGACAAGACCTCAGGTGTAGCAAGGTGTCTTCAATTCTTCCTTCATGCAAATTCATTGTTATGAGTGCTTGCTAATTTGTGGTTGGTCATAAATGTCATAGTATTTTCTCTTTCTCTCTAATCATGCAATATTGTTTCACACAGAACAGCATGGGAGAGGGATTTTGGAAACAAAATTATTGAAGAATTTATTTCATTGGTTTTTGAAATCATTTATAGTTTTAAAGCTGAAAATAAACACAGAAAAATAGAAAAGCTGAAGAAATTCAGATGTAGAAATCAACTCCTCTGATAAAATGGTATCCACTCACAACTAAATAAAATAAAGTACCCAATTCGTTAAGTTTAAGCTATAGACATAATTGACATTTGAGTTTTATTAACCCTAATTTCTCAAACAAATATGTGCCAGCTATTTGAATGTGTGGACTGATCTGGTCCAAAATGTGTATTGCCTTTTTTACCAGTTGGGAAATGATTTATGGAGGACAATTACTATGAACCACTGTGTTTCCTAATCAAATGTGCCTATTTCCTTCATACTTTGCCAAAATATAGTTATTACAGCAGCGTTTGTAATTAATTGGTGCTGGTGAGCACTTATAACTTCACCACAGTCACAATGTACCTGTAGCTCAGTTCGAAGTTTGAACATTTGAATACAGTTCTTAGTCACGCATACATGCAGTTAACAGTAAAATTCCATTCAGTCTATATTTTCTTGTAATTACACCCATTGTGTATATTTAATTTGTTTACCTTCAATTAGCAATTTAATAATTAATGTAATCTCCTGTTAGAGTGGTTTTCATTTGAGCATAAAAAGTGATCTGCATTTCCTTTGGTTTGCCTGACCACATTAAGTGACTGGCTTTAAAAACTTGAATGTGCAGCTCTGCCATCTAACCAAAAGTAAAACCAACACGAACTGTGACTCACTCCCACCCACTTTCCTACACTTAGATTCACACCTACATGTATTGGCGTTGAGTTTTGATTGGTTCAGTGTTCAATAATAATATTTTCTGTGTAATTTGTGATTGGCTTGAGTCATTACTTTTGTTTGGGTTTTACAGTAACTACACTATTGAAGACCCAGCTCAATTGAATTATACACATATTTGTTACTTACCTGACTGAATTTTGCTCATACGTCTTAAGGAAAAACATTGAGATCAATGTCATAGACGATGAAGAATATGAGAAGAATGAGATCTTTTATGTTGTCCTTGGGGAACCAAAAGTTGTCAAGGATGAAGATGACGACAGCGGAGCTGGTACTGATATCAGTTACGATGCAGAAAAAGAACGTCTTGAGGAACTGGGGAAGCCTAGACTAGGTAGTGTAACACATCTTTACAAAGTGCTTTACAACATAAAAACCCAGCTAGGTCATAAAACATCAGAATTTGTTCAAAAATCAATGGGTACTGAAACAGCAATTTACTGTGTAATAATTTTTTCCTGTTCTCTGTAGTATATTTATTGTTCTTTCATTTCCCAATTTTGTCTGCTTTGGTTATCTTTGACATTGGAGTTTGTTGATGTTTTTGAAGTTAAATGCTTATTTATTATCAGCATTTGTAACAACAAAATGAGCCTAAATTTCCATTATGAACTCAAAAAGGTTTTAGCAGATAGGTGTGGTTGTTCCATTCCATTTGATAAGAACCATGAAAGCTCTTTTTGATCAGTCCCAAAAATTCTTTGGTGCATCATCTTTCTAGTGCATGTTGGCATCTCTGCACTAGTTGAATTTTCCTTTGAATTAAAATCTTCCTGTCATTTATCAGGCGATACTTCAAAAGCAGAAGTCACCATAATTGAGAGCAAAGAATTCAAGAACACAGTTGACAAATTGCTAGTCAAGGCTAATTTAGCACTAGTTGTTGGTACATCATCTTGGAAAGAGCAGTTTGTTGACGCCCTGACAGTAAGTGGAAGTGGTGACGATGATGAAAGTGACGAACCAACGACACCGACGTATGGAGACTACATGATGCACTACCTGACAGTGTTTTGGAAGCTTGTGTTCGCGATTGTCCCTCCCACAGATATTTGGGGTGGCTGGGCATGCTTTGTTGCCTCTATTGTAATGATTGGTCTGTTGACGATGATCATAGGAGATGTGGCTTCCCACTTTGGTTGTACTATTGGCTTAGCAGATAGCGTGGTTGCCATTACATTTGTAGCTCTTGGAACAAGTCTTCCAGGTAAAGACAAAAGAATCAATACTTACACATCCTTTTAAGCCATTACTGTACTCATCAGCTCACCAGAAAGATCTTCTTGAACCCCATGGCAATACTCATACACTCTGAATCACAAAAAACAGAAGTTGTGATTTACTGCCATGCAAAAGATAAAATCCATTGAAAACAGTCGGTGGTTTATGCAGTAAGACATCTTCACATGTGCTTTCACCTCTGAAACACCTTCCCCAAACCTGTTACCTCCCCCCCCCCCCCNCAAAAAAAAAAAAATTGCAGCTAGCAATACCTCTAAAAACATTTCTTTCACATCAAAGAGCTTATTGTAACATTTGTTTTAAGCCACAAATTTCACATTCTTTTGTTTATAATATCCACAGATACATTTGCCAGCAAAGTTGCCGCAGTTGGTGATGAGTATGCAGACTCATCCATTGGTAATGTGACTGGTAGCAATTCCGTCAATGTGTTCCTTGGGCTGGGTGTGGCATGGTCTATAGCAGCAATAGTCAAGGCTGCCAAAGGAGAAAAATTTGATGTTCCAGCTGGTAATCTTGGTTTCTCTGTGGTAGTTTTCTGTGTTACAGCTGTACTTGCTATTGGAGTAATGATGTTACGTAGAAGTAAAGCAGTTGGGGGAGAGCTTGGAGGTGCAAAGGCCTACAAACTTCCCACATCACTTTTTTTCTGTTTCCTTTGGGGTATCTATATTATATTATCCTCTTTACAAACATATTGCCACATCAGCGTATCTTTTTAGGCTTTGTCTCTTTGAAGGAAAAATCTTTCTTTGTGGAGACGAATAACAAATTTCATAGTATGGGTGTCTGGCAAAACCTTTGATACAAGTATCTTAGTTTATATTTTCATGATAATGACGAATGCTTCTGAAAATATTGACATTTTTAATAGCATTTACAACAATATTGTTATTATTTGAAATCTTAGCCTGAAAGTGATAGGATACTGTCATACTCCTAGTACAGAGGAGCACTACTATGGCACTGGTTCATCGAGCTTTTGATAGATAAGCTTAGTACTTCTCATTGGCTATTGCCATCTATAGATAAACAGGTCAGCAACCTGACTTACCTAAATAGGGAATGAGGGAAACAGTGCTTTCACTGGTTTAATTTAGAAACCAGAGTGGCCAACAAAAAGCATCCGATAAAACATAATTTGTTACAGTTTATCCTTTTGCAGAACCCCTGTCTCCCTCGAAGAGTTGGTCTGTTTGTTGTGTCCTTCTGTGGTAGGAGTATGACTCATTTTTGGACAGTAGCTGTACAAATCTTATCACTCTTTTTAAAGATTAGAAGAAGTCATATTTATAGATTCTTCTAATGTACATGTGTTAATATCTGTCACAAAAGATTTAATTTTATTTCGTAGATTTTATTATCAGTTATTTATTTGTCATAATTTTATTTGTTTTCACCGTTTTGCTATTCTCTAGAAGTTATTCTCTTTGACAGTTAAATTCTCCAAGGTAAATAATTTGGAACTTCACAATAACACTGTCTACACTCAACTTGAGCAATTCACGGTTTGATATGAACCTTTCCCATAGTAATGTATCTTTGAATTTCCACTCTTCAAACAAAGAGTCTAATATTCATTGTAGTGTGAATTGAAGAATAGATCTCCTACTCTACCCAGCAAAATGCAAAACATTCAGCCAATAGTGTCATGTGGGGGTTACAGTGAATGGGAATCACTCTAAAATGCATTTCTGGGTTTAGTTTGTGCAACAGCTATGTGAGAATTTCCAGGGAATTTTACACGGGAGTTCGAAAGGCTGTGAACCTAGAACCCATCAATTGTCTCTCTGGTGTGCATCACTATGAACATTAAACTGTTTATTGAAAAGTGGAACATTGAAACAAAGAATGAAGAGGAATTTTTTACATTATTATTTTTCTCTAAGTGTCATATAAAACTGATACATTGGGAGTGCCTATAGAGTAAGCTTGCTCAACCTCTTAAAGTGTCTATATCACCCAAAGAAACTTTGGGAAAAACCCTGACCTATAAGCAATATTGACACTAAAACCACAGCCATTGACAAAAAGCAAGCATCTGGGCACTACTTCTTTACTGATATTTATGCTATTTGCTCAGATTTTGTCCATCTGGTATAATAGCTGCAGCAAGAAAATGTTTATATTTCACAATAGAAAATAGGGCAGGCCCCAAAATATTTAGTTTAGAAGTAATTGGTCATGTGCTCTTCAAGGTACCAGAAACAATGTAAAGGACCCGGTAACAGCACAAAACAGTTACTTCAGATCACAGGTAATCAACACGCACTGTGTAGTTTGTATGGATTTCATTATTCATTACCAAAAACATCTCGCTTTCCTTCTAAAAGCTACAGAAAAGTCCAAAAGCTTATGTGGTGTCCTTCTGCTGTCTTCCCAAGCACCTTTGTAGCCACTGTAACTTTTCTTCAATCGTCTGTTAGAATCCCAGAAATGGTCTTCAGAAGGACTTAGAAAGACAGGAAATAGGATACCAGTGTGATGTGAAATGTGTGGTTCCAGAAAATATCCATACTCCCCCCATAGAAGGGATTGGAATTTCCTGGGGGTAGGGGGGTTCTATGAGACCAAAAAATTTAAAGAAATGTATGAAGCTTAATGAAATTTCCAGAGGGGTGGGGAGGTGTTAGAAAAAATCCCTTCTGTAGGGGAGGTATAGATATTTTCTGGAACAACACAATTTGATTATAACTTTTTCACCTGCAGAGGTGTTATTTTGTAATGAATATCAAATCCATCCAAACTTACATAGTATGCATTGATTACAAAAGTAGAGAAATTATTTGTTAGTTAAGCTGATGAACTGATTTGGTTATACTGTGCGAGGCTGCTTGGCCAACACTGTAAGACATAGCAAGGTATTTTTCTGTATTGATCTGTACATTAGCTACAAACAACAATTTAATTTGGATGCAGTAATAGTGGTATGCGGCATTAACACACAGTTTCCAGTTTAATATTCTGCTAATGTATCAGTCCATGAAATTTAACTTTGAGTTAGAGCATTTTGTATTATGATAAATTCGAAAAAAACTGAAAGCGTTAGGAAAATATTTGTGCTTTATTGACTGCTTTCAATAGGTCTCAAAAGCACAGAGAAAAAGGGGAAACAATTTGCCTCATGTCTAGTATATTAAATAACATTGATAGTATGAAGTTAAGATAAGAAATAATGTGCTTAGTTTGTGTTAGATGTTGGTTCAATTTCTCCACCACTGCTGTGAACAGCTAACATCTTTACTAGACAAGACGCCCAAGTTCTCAAAAATATAAATTGAACCAGCGAGGTTAAAAAGCTTAGTGTGGTGGCTTGTGCCACAACTTGGCTTGGATAAGCATGTGCTTAAAAGTGAGCTAGGTGAGTTATAAAGTCACTAGACCTGTAGCTACATGTATTGAGTCAGGCTAGCACATGTCCATTACTGAGTATGGATATGACAAATTTTTGAACATCTTCAAAACAATTATGTAAAAGGTGATTTTTCATCTGGGCTAGTGATCGACTTTTAGCGTGATGTGTCAAAAAACAGTCAATTGTGAGAGAAAGTGGTGACGTACAGAAGATGGTATTTATAGGGAGAAATTTGTGCCACACACAATGTTATATTGTTTTGGAGGAAATAAATAAGCTTTATTCAGAGGAAGTGTTAAATCATATATTTATGCCCGTTAGTTGTGACACATTTTATGCTGGAAAATTGTTTCTCAAAGTCATCACTGTATTTTTTTCGCTGGATCATTGGATATCTTTTGAAAATGATTGTAATGGTGACAAGTGTGAAGCAAATGTTTCTTTTTGGCTTTGGTACATGCTGTGTTGAATTGCAAGTTACATACATCTCTTTGCAGCTTGGTCCTGCGCTTTCCTTTTACAGTGATTGTTGAAAAAAAAATTGAAAATAAATAAAGTATCATGGTATTTCAGCCACAAGACAAACCAGTTGTCTCAGCTATAGTTTTACTGGTAACCAGCCATCAAATGTTACATGCAGTAGCATTATTGCCGGATCAAACATAAAAACTTATAGTGAATATGAATAAAGATGTGAAAATCCGAGAATTACAACACGTGTTTTTCAACTGAGACAAATCTCTATTCAGTCAATTTTAAAGAGCATGTGTGAACTGTTAGGAAATATCCATGGATCAGCAAAGTGTAATGATGCATGTTACGTAATTATACTGTAAAAGCCCGGGAAAAAGAAAACAATGTTGAAAATTCCCATACTTAGGTGTACATAAATATTATTCTGCAGTTTGGTTTTATGAATATACCAGGTGTATTATGTAGGGAGACGGAGTATGGTCGTGTACAAGGATTTCTGCGATATTAGGGATTTTAAAGTATAATTTATTCATTTAATTTAAGTTGCATGTTGTAGACAAAGAACACCGTTTTAAAAGATCTAAGCCCTCCCTGACATTTTACAGCAGTATTTGAAGTCCTTGCTGCATTCCTAAACTTAAAGCAAATGCTGTCTCTTGGTTAAATATGTTTACAGCTTTAGTAGCCAGAAGGGTGGACATGGTGACAGTAAGTTGCCTTTTCAAAAGGGCTACAACATTAGGTTACTTTTTAGGGAGTAGTTTTAGGAAAAAATGAATTTTGAAAATGCCTTTCATTATTAAATGTTCCTAGAACCTATTATATAAGAGCTCAAAATAAATATATATGTTGAAAATTTTGCTGTATCTTTACTTGGTTAATTTTCTGCCCAACAAAACTGATTGAGTTTCCTTATGGACCAAACAGTCTCTGGTTTGAGGCTGATTGGAGGCCAGCAAGCCTTTCTGTTTTCCCCTACAATTGTAAATACAAAGTATGTATTTACTTACCACTTAATTAGTGTCCCCAATTAGTTTGTTTTAAGTTAATTACTATGACACTTCAACAAAGTCCTACTTCTACTACCCCTCTCCCTCCAAGGGTCCTGTTGGCAAACCAGTGTTGGAAACTAAATTTTAACAGCACTCGCCATTTTGGGCAAGTGACTCTCAAAATGCACTCACCTGGTGTAATTTTCGCTCACCAGGATATATGCTACCCCTCCCCAAAAATCTACATAATGATTCACAAAATTTAGAGGGTGAGGTTGCTGACAAGCTTTCAATCTGTTGCTCACTCAATTGAGATGAAAACACTTATTATTAAGAGATGAACTAGTTGTCACAAACAAGACAATCTTTCAACTGTAGAAAAAGGCATCACTCAATCAAAAACTGTGCAACTTCATCCTTCAATCCATCAATGGTGCAATAGTGGGATTGAGAAGGATTCCATTTTTGAGCCAAGCTCAGTAAAACAATATTAGTGAAAGTAGTGAGAATCCAGAATTTGACAGTTCCCCAACCCCTCTATTCCGGCATACAAAACCAGAATTAATGTTTTAAGGTTACCGTAAACCTTCGCGGGTGTCCTTAGCGAAAAAAAATATTACCGCGCTGTCTTTAAGACATCCACTACAAATTATATATCAATGCAAAGGTTATAGAATGCTCTATTTGATAAAAATTGTTTTGCCTCAATTTTTTTTAATCATAAGGCGAGCGCGACCTAAAAGCGCGAAACGACC